TGGCCTTTTTCCGAATGATGCAACATTGCAAATCACCCACTTTATGAATAGATGGGATAAATTCTTTTTTAGTGCCAAATCCATAATATTTCTTATTTTTAATATATTCTAAGTTCGTCTTCTTGATGAATGGACAGAGTGGGACCTCAAGTGGATCGTGAACTGCTCTACACTTATTCATATTATGCAATAAATAATTATATTAACAATAGTAATAATGATACTACTGTCATTTCAATAACCTTTAGGCATATGCGAGCAGAGTATAATTGCAGTGCTACATTCAATGCTTCACGATAGAATCAGCCTTGTTGGAGGGTGGTGTGTCGGGGATGAATAGGCTGAATATTTATTCCCATAAACTGGCTACAAAAGAAGACATAAGATTCTCCCATCCAGTCGAAAGGCTACTAGTGAAATAAGATTAACAGAAGCAACTGATTTATTGGAATTGTATGCTCAATTTTCCTACAATGATATAAGTACGTCTCACGATGACAATTAATTTCACTAAGCCTTGGCTCCAAAAATTAATGTTTATTTCAACTTTCAACTTCGCATGGATCTCTTTAGTATTTCCAATAAGACTTGAACCTGGGCTCTACATCGTTTAATTTTTAATAGGCCGCTCCTTCACACAAATTTGTCTGAATATGATTAATGGGATCAAGTGTAATAGCACATAAAAATGGCCTTAACGACAATCCCAATGTTAAACTTTTCCACCCCTTTTGGGGTGCTGATAGCATCCATGCGAGGCCAAAACGTCAGTCTACTCAGGCCTGGATGAAAATACCTTTTGGGAAGCAAGATAAAGTGATATTCACTGGCATTCTTGGGCCTATTTACAACATTGTGAACCATCATTTGATGCTGCCTAAAGTTGCTTCTTCTGCACTAAAATATAGAAACTGTACCATCGCAGATTGCATAAATTGTCAAGGGTAGTTGAATTTTTCCTCGAGGGCTAACAACTATCCTATTCAAGATCTACAAAGAGTATGGAAACCATGCGATTTTGAATGTTAAGTTATTATGTGAATCATAACTGGGTTTTGCAGAAATCCTTGGGGATCTATTTTGGCACGACTTTCAGTTTCGAAGAAAAGGTTGGCTGGGAGGATTGGTGAAATGGTCTCACCGGAAGCCGAAGCAAGATTGTCGCTGAGTGAAGACCGTTGGGTTGTGCAAAGAAGTCCTCGGCCCACTGTTCTGCTGCTCTCATGAACCTGTAATAGGCTTGCGTCTGTACCGCTGTGACAGAAATCGTCACAGCAAGAATGCATACTTTACGAAATAATACAGAAAATATACTAAAATATGTATTGACACTATTTCGTAAAATACAGATTTTTCTCTCATGCTGTCGTTGCGGCACAGAGGCCTTTTTCGCACAGTTTCCCGAATTGCTTCTAACCAACTTTTCGTTGGAAACGGAAAATCATGTCACAATTAAGCGATTATGTTGCATTTTCTTTTATGCTGAGTCCTTATCTGCCCTACCATTTCTCTCTTTTCCTCCGCCTCACTCAGTCTGCCTGATGCTCATGCCCTCGGATACGGCCATGTCGTTCCTGATCGACCTTAACAGCGACGGAAATCTGGCTAATAGTGGTCATATCGCTTTCTTCCTCATTGAACAGTCGATAATGGCACTCGATCTGATCCGTGGCTGGATAAACCATATCAACACAGTGCCCGGCTTGTTGGATGCTGCGCAAGCCCTCCTCCTGCTCGGCGTCCACCCGTCCGGCCTGGCCCTCGACCAGCAAGATGCAATTCTCTCATCTGTAAGCCTGGCTACCGAAGCTGGAAGAGGGAGAATGTGTGACGTGACGACGACAACTTTGGGCAAAAGACGTGAACGACCGATTGGTGAATTTTTCCACAATCACCGGAGTAGGCATCATGTTTCCATTGCAATTCACGTGGACTTTTCGCCCAAAATGCATACTCACCCAGACTGGAATTGGAGGCAGTTTTGACTCGCAACGAGACTCGAACCCGGGGCTCTATTCCTCTCCGGCCTGGATGAGAATCTATTCTTGTAAGAAAGGCTGGAGAAAATTCAATGGAAACCTACTCAAATGATTGC